GGAAAGAGCTGTCACCCTTGGATGGTAGGAAGGATAAGGGGGCCCATGAAAACAGGGAGGTAGGGGGGTCCTCCAGTGCCAAGAACAAAATTCCAATACAATCAATGATCACTTAAGGAGGGATCCAGGGCATCAATGGGGTTACATTTCCACCATATATAGCAATGGGCCTTTTGTGATTTCTCTAGGGGTACGTCTAGACTACATGCCTCTGGCGACAGAGGCATGTAGATTAGGCTACCAGACATAGTAAAATGAAGCGGCGATTTAAATAATCGCGGCTTCATTTAAATTTACATGGCTGCCGCGCTGAGCTGACAAACAGCTGATCAGCTGTTTGTCGGCTCAGCGCGATAGTCTGGACGCTCCCCTGCCGACATCAAAGGTATTTGTCGACCACCCAGGTATGCCTCCTGGGATGAGACATACCTGGGTGGTCGACAAATACCTTTGATGTCGGCAGGGGAGCGTCCAGACTATCGCGCTGAGCCGACAAACAGCTGATCAGCTGTTTGTCGGCTCAGCGCGGCAGCCATGTAAATTTAAATAAAGCCGCGATTATTTAAATCGCCGCTTCATTTTACTATGTCTGGTAGCCTAATCTACATGCCTCTGGCGACAGAGGCATGTAGTCTAGATGTACCCTAGGTTTGCTATGTTCTCAGAACTTGCCATGAATAGCGTAGGACTTATGATGGGGGGGCGTGAGGGAGAGGGGGAACGGGGTTACAGCTTTAACCTCTCTCAACCAGGACTCTGGTCAGACCATGGATGTTCTAGGACCAGAGAGTCTTGTTGGGACTCTCCCGCTGGGAGCTGGCAGCAGGGGTGGGGAGCCCTGTGTTCGGAGGGTTTGTCGGCAGAAGGGAGCCAGCTAGGAAGCTGGCAGCCATACTATGGCTGCCAGGGCCAGTGACATAGGGGCCAGGGGCCAGAAATGACCTCCCCTGGTCTGGCAAAATCCCTCATCCAGGACTGATCAGATCTCAGGGAAGTCTGACCTGTACTATTCTTCCAAATTAGAAAAAGAACTGGGTAAGAAGATAATTACAAAGGGATCAGTTTGGACTTGGGTAACAAAGACAACACAGTAGGGGATACATCCAAGGTTTGAGTGTGTTACAAGCAGCTGCAGTGAGTGCTTAAACTCTTAAATACCTGATCCAAAGAAATAAAAGTGGCCCACTCACAGAAATGCCAGTGTCCTTATTCAGGATCACTTGCAGCAGGTGTGGTGGAAGAATAGGTGGAGTCTTGAATCGTTCCTCTGGTTTACAAATATAGGGATCCTGATGGTAGGGTCCTGGTGGGGAGCTAGATATCTCTGTAGGGAGAGGTTACATGTTTAAACGTTAAAAAGATCAACCCATTACAGGTATGTTTAGCTGCAGTAATAATTTAACAGCCAGATACATGTACGACAGAAGCTAATTGCACTAAAAAGCAAGCCCTCTAAGAATTACAGAAATACCACACTTCCTATACACTCTAGATAAAGTTTCCTGAGACATTTCCTGCTGGGCCAGGAACAACCATCAGCTGGGACAGAACAGTTGCAGGCTGCAGCTACACAGCACTCTTAAGAAGTTTTGTCGTGTCATTTCACTCACGTTTCCTACAACCTGAATAGGTGCTCTAATCCTGGATCATTGAGTAAAGCAGGGCTGCTACTGCTCCTCTTGAGTTTTGTGTGGGGCTTAATCTGGTAGACATGCACCAAGGTAGTGGGGCTCAACTCTTCCAGACTTTACTGCAGGGCTACTCAACTTTGGAAGCGCCGGGGGGTACAATTACACTCATAGCATATGCTGAGGCCCACAACCTAAGTGTGGTTGCATATACATGCAAATATGTATGCAAATAAGCTTCTTTCACACTGACAGGAATGAATACACAGCACTTCCCACAATGCCCCGGCACTCCCTGCACCTCCTCCCTGGGGGCTAGAAACGCCTACACCCTGTACCTGTCTGTTCCAGCCAGCCCATCCGCTTGCATCTTTCAGTGCTCACCTCGCCTGGGAGACACCTTGCCATTGTGGAACATGTTCCCAGTGGAAGCCACGTTCAAAGGATCCCACCTGCGGGTCGCATACTGAGCCCACGTAAATCCAAAAAACCACGTGGGCTGCATGCAGCCCACATGTTGAGTAGTCTTGCTTTACTGTAACCCTTTTAGGAGTCCGAGTCATCTTGTGTATCCCAAAGTTTCACCTCGCTTAAAAAATACTTGGCTGAGAAATCTGACATATAAACTCAGAAATGTCACAGCAGACAGTGATAGTGAAATAAGTGCTTTCGCATTTTTATCATGCACTTATAAAATAAATCAGCTGGACTATAAATATTGTACTTACATTTCAAGTGTATAGGATTATAATTAATTCACGGTCTGTATTAAATTTTAGTTTACTGACCTCACGAGTGCTTTTTACCAGTGTGACTTTACCAGTGGAAACATAGCAGTCTAGGCAATTTGGGTACCTACAGGATTAGGCGGCATCAGGGCAAGGGTCTTGTGAGTACTAAGGATATCAACATGTAGTCTACTCACAATTAACTGGTAAACATAGGCTTGCTGGTTTATCTTATTGCCTACACACACTCTTCCACCCTCCCTGCCCTGCTGCCTCTGTATTGGGTGGTGGGAGAGAGCAGGAGTTGGTGCCTATGAGGAGCTGGCTTTAAGCAGGCTCCCCATAAGCACCAAATCCTCCTGCCCCCCACAATCCCGTGCTACTGCCTCTGATAGAGATGCAGTAGTGCGGAGGGTGGGGGGGCACGCTGGAGCTGACATGCCCAAGGAGTCGACTTGTGGCTCTTCACATGTGCTGGATCAGCGGACCTGCCTGAACTCCCAACCTTGCTGCCTCCTACAGAGGCACTGAGTGTCTGCTACAGACATACTGGACCAGAAAATTAAAAAAAAAAAAAGAGAAGGGACCAGCCCTTCTTGACTGCCTACCTCTACCCAGCTGGTCTCCAGTAGGCAAATCCTGGGGTCTTTAGCAAGGAGCCCAAGAGATGGTTTTAAAGACCTTTATGCCTGAGCTTCCCCAAACTCTGTCAGATTCTGAAACTTGAATTCATTTTGCATTCTGTCAGCTACTACTGTTCCAGTCTGTGTAATAGGAGTAGCATCTTGCTGATGAGGTGACCAGTGTCAAAATTAAACCTTTATTTTAATAAATCAGATTCCCTCCCTCTCACACCTCTGGATGGGGTGCAAAGATTTGAATCCAAGTCTTCCACCTCCCACGTGAGTGCCCTAACCACTGGACTATGGAGTATTCTGGACTGGGTCTCTTTAAATCTCTCCTACTGAAACTGATCCACTTTGTATGTGAACACTTAAATTTTCACTAGAACAGGAACTGGCCTTTGGGTTTCCCACACCCATCATACACAATCTTATTGCAGTCCCACAGTACAACACTTAAAGCTGTAGTTCCCAACCTTTTCAAGCATACCGACCCCTTTTCAATCTATTAAATTTCATGGACTCTCCCTGGGGGAGAAAGACAAAGAACTGTAAGAAAAAGAACAAGAAAAAAAAAGGGATTGGGCCACCACTACTGATTCATCCTGGAATGGTCTGGAATCACCATTCAACTGGCTTCATTATGATCTTGATGAGGTTTGACCAGTGACCTGTCATCTTGCTACAATCTCTTCATTCATTCCAGCTTCTCCTTTTTTGTTCCTTGATTCCTGCATATAACCCCAATAGATCGGTATAGAAAAAGAGAGAGACTTCTGCTTTGGAGATTTAATGCAAGATCAGGAATTAAATGTGCAGATTATTTGTGCAACTTCAAGTATGTGGTATAAGATTACAATTGGATTCATACCAGACATCTCTGAACACTTCTGGGAGTCCACCATTAAAGCATCAAATACTTCAAAGTCAGTTTTCTTCACCTGAATGATGTTGTTAACAGTACCAAGCTGGCTGGTTACTACTGGCTGGGAATAAACAGAGGCAAAAGCCACAATTCAGAAGGTATGCAGGGTTATTAATATTCTATAGACTTGAAAACCCAGTATCCCAGAGTCCTCATCTACTTCATAGCCTCTTATTTTACAGCCAGCCAGCATTACTACCCTCAGTTTGGTAGTTAACTAACCCAGCTAGTGCCAGGAACATTCCACCAGCTCAAACAGTCAATTGCCTTGATCAGCAATGGTCTTTTCTTTTAGGTTAGCATGGAAGCTAATTAATTTCTCCCATTCACATGCATGGATCAGCTTATAAATCTGCAAGATCACAGAAAACGTTACCTCCGAAGGATCATGTGTCCATTGACCATCCACATAGAACTTGTACTGGTGCTCACCTTCTGGCAAATCCAGGATTGCAACAAAGTTATTGTGGCTGTGATTTCAGAAAAATACACAAACAATTACATGTTATTTCTGAAACACCAGTCCATCTACTGTCTTGCTACAAAGAACGCAAAGATCTCAAACAGAATCTTTTAAAAAGTTCTTCAGGGTAATAACCCTTTAAGAGTACATTGAAGCAATCCAGTGCAATAATCTAAATGGACAGAAACAAGCTGAAACTAATAATCCTCAGTGACAGCTGAGTCATCTCTTGATATGCACAACCAAACATGTTTCACATTAACACTGATCACCAGAAAATCCAGGTTCCTATCAAAGGGTTCATACTGTGTTCTGATAAGCCATTCTTCTTGCATCTGTGTTACTCAGCGTGAGCGCATGCTTGTTTTGGCTCATCAGCCAAAGCTTCACAAAGATCTGCTCTCTCCAACATAGCCTTGGTCTTTTAGTATCTTCCAGAACAAATCTTGCCCATCAAATGATGGAGCAAGAACTGAGAAAATGAAAGGAGTAACTGAACTAATGCCAGAAAAACTGCTTTGAGTAAGCACAGATTGATCAGATTGTCATTCCTTTGTTACGAGCTTCTTGCCTGTTTTGAGGTTCACAGTACCTCAGACAGAAGTCTTACCACATGAACAAATACCAGTGGGTCATGCAACATTAATAGTCCTCCCTTCCTTGCTTCTTGACAGGTAAGGGGGCAAAGTATGCAGATTAAAGTTCCAATCTGAGACATTGTTTTTGCTGTTTGAATTTCGAATGAATGTCTACAGGCAGTCCCCGGGTTACATACAAGATAGGGACTGTAGGTTTGTTCTTAAGTTGAATTTGTATGTAAGTCGGAACTGGAGTCCAGATTCAGCCGCTGCTGAAACTGACCAGCGGCTGACTACAGGAAG